GTCATTGTCTGATTTCTGACTAATAGAGCCTTCTCTTGCAAAGCTAAATTAGATTACTCTGTAGCCTAGTGGGGCTGTGATTCAGCGCTCAGCCTCAGCAGTATTTCTTCCTAACTCTGTAAGCTGAATTGCTGATGAGATATGACTGTAGAATGCAAGTGATGACTTAAATTGGATTTCAATATGGCTGGCTGGGGAATTCTGGGAGTTGAAGTCCACACATCTTAGAGTTGCCAATCTTTAGAAATACTGGCTTACATTGTTCATTTCCAGTACTTAAAGTTTTTCCTTGGCTGTGGGCAGCTCTATGAGCTGAGGATCACACTGCATTCATGTTCACCATGTTTTCTTTTGTAAACCAGTATGGTGGAGGAGTAGGCTGGTATAGGTGATGGACTATGATTGGAGAGATCCAAGTTCAAATTGTCACTTGACCATTGAGCTTCCTGGATGATTTGTACTCCCACCTTACAGTGTTGCTTTTGCTATGAGGATTAAAGTGAAGGAAGACGCATAAAGCCTGCATATGCATCCTAAAGGAATGGCATAATGGAAATTTAGTAATAAATAAAAGCCAGAATTCATCAGAGGAGAGAATAGTGACATACAGTAAATGAAATAGTAGTCTGGCCTGAAGAAATGAAGTTATTTAATATCACAACCTGTTCCCTACAATGGTCAAAATCAGTTCACAATCCTCTCTTAACAAATACAGAAGCAGGTAAACACAGAGAGGCTATATTCACATGTAACATTAAACTATGATTTTCTGAAATTATTTTGTGGGCAAACAAAAATATTTTCAGAGAAAGCACAACTTTCAGCCAATGTTTATTTTCTGCCTCCATTTCTTCTGCTAGACTGCAGAAGAAATAGGCAGTTTGATTCATTTGCTGATGTTATATTGATAAAGGGGGGGGGGGTGCATGACAGGAATAAGACATCTATACAATGTAATGTTCACATGTATTATACATTAAAAACACTGATGTGACAACTCTCACAAGTGTTAGAAAAAAATCCTTTATAACTGAAAACAGAGATTTATCACAATTGACCATAATTTTAAATTGCTTGGGGAACCAGGAGGTTGAAATCAAACTCCTAGGCTACAAGCTGCCTATTCTTAGCTAACCTTACAAGCACTCCTCAAACACACTGAAGTGGCTAGTAGAGTTGAGCAGCCCCTATAGAGCAGTGTTTCTCAACCTTGGCAACTTTTAAGACACATGGATTTCAAGATGCTGGCTGAGGAATTCTGGGAGTTGAAGTCCATGTGTCTTAAATTTGCCAAGGTTGAGAAAACCTGTTAAAGAGATATAAGTCTTTCTTAGGCATCAAACACTGCTGCAAGCCTAAGCACACTAATACATAGAGGATGAGGAACTGGGAACCAAGATCCATTTTAATAAGAAAGGCCTAATAAAACAATCAAGAGAACTTGAGAAGCAACTGGGCAATTTCAATACTCATCCTTTAAATTAAAATTGTGAGCACCAAGAAAAATGACAAGGCAATGGACTTTGGTGGTCTAGAATTTAATACAAGGAAGATATACCTGATTCAGTATGTATGTTCCCATTTCTCCCTCACCCCCCCAGAAACCATCAGAATCTCATCTTCAAATTAAAAAAAAAACATTCTCTCTCTTTTTCCAGGAATAGCCTTCGGCCAGGACTGGCCACTTTGTGCTGGAGAAGCAACATTACAGTGGCCTGTAAAAATTACAATTAGGCAAAAAAAAATAAAAAAATATGGCAGTCTTACAAGTTTGGGTTTGAGTTCTCAGGTCTAAATCTCTCTTTTACAACTTGCCAACACACATTCGCTGCCAAGAAAAACCTCCAGCCCAGTGTACTAAAAGTTCTAAATTATGCAAAATAAAATTGGTTAGCAGTTTCAGTAAGTAGAGTGCTCGGAGGGGGACAAGATTTCAGTTCCCTCCTTCTTTTTCTACTGGGATTCATTTATAGCTGTATCAATAGAATTATAACATTTAAGTAATTCCACTAATTTAATGGAGTTAGATATTTTATTATTTACCTATTATTTACCTATTACTAAACTAAGCAAGCAAGTATTAAGATAGCATTACTCCAGAATTCTCAGCCTCCACTAACTTGGCCCCTGAAACTCACATAACTACATGGTGACCACATTAATAGATTGGATGGCAAACTACATTAGGCCACATTTGTATGACATTTTTTTTACCATTTGTTCACTAATAAAATAAGTACAGAGCTAATCTTGGCAGAGCCTTGTCTGGGAATATTTTTCTATTTTGGAATGTCCAACTATTTTGCTAAGTGGATCTCACCCTGATTAACTTATTTGAGATTAGTCAAGGTCAGCTACGTGTTTCTACAGTAAGTATATGTTAAAACTGCCTGACTGCTATATAGGATATCTGACTAGGGAGATAGAAAGCCTGTAATTTAAGGATTCCCTTATAGACTGTCTCCTGCTCTTCCTCTGATCATGAGTCATGGTCAGATGTTCCATTTCTTGTATGTTACATTCAGTCCCAAACTTTTTTTCATCATTCTTTAGAAAGGACTGTCAAGGTGATGATTTAGAAGCTAATCAGCTGATGTAATGTATGATGTAATATTGGGAATGACTCAGCAGGGTCTATGTCCCTTTAAGAGCAAGCAGGGTCTGTATCTCTTTAAGAGGCTTGTATAAAAGGGAAGGCTCTGCAGACGTGTGCTCTCTCTTCTGTTTCCTGCTGTAACTGTTCTGTGTTGAAGACTGCTGTATTAACACGTGTATGTATATTGTTCCTGGTGTATGATATTGTAGATAGTGTAAGATAAACCACCATTTAATATAGACCACTGTTTACTGTGTTTACTCCTGGGTTATCTCAGCGCAATAAGACTGTGCATGCTCTGACAAGGACCCAAGAAGATGGGAGGATCACTCCAAATTTGGATTCCAATACAGCCTCAGTCTTCCAACTATACAGTACAAATTTGTATCTTATAATACTCACTAGTTCTTGGAAGTAGAACTGATAATCAAATACAGGAATGGCTTCCAGCATTTTTATAATATCCACACCAGGCTTTGAAGGTGAATAGGGTGTATTTATTCCAGCCACTGCCCTAAAACAAAAGCAAGATATTGAGACAGAGAGTTGTCAATCACTTTCTACCCCATCTATCCCACAGGTTTCGTGTTGTGGGATGGGAGAGTTTGAGGAAAGGAATGTTGTGTACTTCATTTGGAGCTCCTGGAAGAAAGTTGGGATATAAATCTAACATATAAATCAATCTTAGATGACTATAGTTTCCTTGAGTAAAAGTGGAATAAAAATATAATAAACATTTATTAGACAAAAAGAAATAAGTATCAGGACCCAGAAATGCTGAGAAAATGTAAACAAGTAAAAAAAAATCATGCATACAAGTTCTATATTAGGAAAAAATATAAAAAATAGTCATTAGCCTGCGACAGTCCTTCCCAATATGGTCCTGCTCCCGTACCAAAATGGACAAGTCTCTAAAAACTACTGAATGGAGAACACAAAGGGGAATATTATTGTATGCATATTTTTCTGTTCAATTAGATAACTCTAAATCCAGCAGGATTCTTTTTATGAGTAAATATTTTGGTTTATAATATTAACTATTAAGACAATATTTATCCTATGTTATTAATCTATGCCATTCTAATTAAACAATTCCACAATATTTCACTACCAAACAGCACTTCTTATCTTCTTGTCTCTGTATTGCATTACAATTGCTACCATGAAACTGGTATTTTCAAAATAACAATAAATTAATATGACCAGCAATTCTGATGCATACTATACTGGAATTGTTCTCTGTTACTGAAAATCTGTATGAACTGAGGTAGCTTGTAAATATTGTTAAATAAATAGCTTAAAAAATTGTGTAGGAGCGGGAGGGAGGGAGGGAGGGAGGGAGGAAGGCAAATTCCAGTCACATATGGTTATTGGTCTATCCACCTGCTGAATGCTAAAATCTGGGAGAAAAGTAAATTGAAGAACTTGACATCTAAGGGAGGTTGGCTGCTCTAGACTCATGCGGAAAGCCTTAGACTGAGAAGGCTGGCCTCTGATACGTCATATTTTTTAAGGATAAAAAAGTATAAGTAATCCTGGACAGACAGCAACAATGAAATAGAATTTAAAACAATACAATGAAAGGGAGACGAACCAAGATGACTATTAATATATTATTTAGGCAGATGAATAATGACAAAATAAAAATGGCTCAAAAAGTAATGGACAAAGGAGAAGGAGGGTAAAATCTGACAAGTTGTTAACAGGAGACTTATGACATTTTCATGGATTCTTCTAATTAAATTTGGAAACAAATAAAAATGGAATTTGATGCAAAAAGGTTGAAAGTTACCAACTAAAGCTAATTTACCCACATATTGAATTTTGTTAAGTAAGTATGTACTATACACTGTAAGACATAGTACTGAATTATATATTGTACTTCTGCTCACAACTCCAAGTGATGAGCACTTTTTGGTGTTTGATCCAACACTATCATACATTTTGCAAGCAAATGTCACAGAGAAATTAACTTACTTGACCCGTTCTGGGTAAAAGAGAGCCATATTCCACACTGTGGCACCACCCCAATCATGACCAATGAATGTAGCCTGAACAATGCTCTAGAAAGGAAAAAAAAAAGGATAATTTCAGTACTCATGTCTTCCCATAAGCACAGTTCTCTTTCTTTCTTTCTTTCTTTCTTTCTTTCTTTCTTTCTTTCTTTCTTTCTTTCTTTCTTTCTTTCTTTTCTTTCTTCCTTCCTTCCTTCCTTCCTTCCTTCCTCTTTCTTTTTCTCTTTCCTCCTTCCTGCCTTCCTTCTTTTCTTTCATATGCAATGTATATTGCAGGCAGCTGCAGCACCCATTTATTTATTTATTGGAAAGGTGCCCAGCGCCTCTCCTCCCCCAAAAGATAAAGTTAAGCAATAGGATATTCAAATTCTTTGATGATAATCATTTTTAAATATCATTTTAATATTTTTAAATGGGCTTTCTTGACTGGCCAAATACAAGATGTCAGCCTGTTTATGAGGGGTCCTACAATAGGATCTCAATATTTCAGATATGGACACAGGCACCAAAGTTTGAGAATTCAGACAACCTACTGAGCTCAGGATTGCAAACTCTATATACCACAGCTGCTGGTTTGTTTAATCACGATTACTACCTTATAACTTAAAATTGTAAAGATCCTGTTTTCGTTTGTCCGAGGATGACTTTCTACTCTTGCCTCTTTCCTTTTTACCAATGTTTTATTATGATCTTTCCTCCCCAGAGGCTGGAGCTTGAGGAACCTTTGACAATATCACAGCAATTTAACCAATGGTTTCAGCCAGACCAAAAAAATGTGCTATCCCTTACATAAAGAAGGAAATAGCATTACTTTGGTGCTATATTTCAATGGAAAAGGGAGGACAAAGCACAAAGCACCAGCTATTAAGCTACTATTTCACCTCGAGAAAAAAAAATGCATTTTTAGATTGAGGTTACTAAATAGGATGCCTTCACACATTGGTTCAGTCATTTAACTTAATGGAAGCAGCCTGCCAAATTACTTTGAAAAAGAAGAAACGGGAGGGGGAAAAAATCTAATTCTGAGCATCAACTCCTCACTTAACTTGAAAGACAATTTTTTGCTTTTAAGCACCATCTGTTTGTACAAAATAGGCCTCATGCTCAGCTATTCTTATTCCAATCTCTTTCCTTCCTTATTGCAAAAGGAGATGCGTCAAAGTTCCACAAAGTTCATTACTTGCTACTAAAAAATTTTCCTTAGGGAACTAGGAAGAGCTGAAAGGTTAAACTCAGCAGCTGCCCAGGATAGAGAGGAGAAACCATCCTGTGGAGGAAGCTCATTTCAAGTACATCCTAGAAAAAACGGACCAAAAGCTTCCTGGCAAATCCATGGCTTTCCAAACCCACGTCTTCTCAAACCCATCCTTATGTATTCCTCCTGCCCATTTGGAAATCCAGGAATACAGTATGCCTGTATACTGTAGAAGCCATGACATGTCAAAATAATTGTCCGTCTTCCAGCCCTGGCTCTTAGGGACCTAGGATGGAGGGAGATAATTCAAATCAATGTACTGCCAGAGCCTAACAGCTTGAGATACCAACAACTTAATTTGGGGATTCTATATGCAAAACATGTGATTGGCCATGATATCTTTCTCTCTCTTGTTGAGAGCAGTCAGGAACATTTTACCTCCCCCAGTGAGGGAAATTAGCAAAAAAATAATAATAACCTCTATCAGAAAACACATCCCCCTTTGCTTTTAACAATGCAAAGAGAGACATTAGCAGAGTTGCAGGGTAGAAACTGGGTTGGCTTTTTCAGCAATTTATAATTTGGCAGAGAAAGAAAAAGATTAGGAAGTTGAAAAGATAGCGAAGCATTTCAGCATACTGCAGCATTGGAAAGCTTGAAGTAGTTTTATAAAAGAACCCACACTTTTATTCTTTAACTGTAAGGTAGAACAGATGTCCAGAATAACCTACATAGTGGAACTTGCTCACACAGCACAACATTTACCATGGTGTCAATCTTACACCTTCCATCAGAGTTGTGAATGTTCTTTTTCTCTTTCTGAGCTATTGCTCATGAAAATCACCACCACCTCCTCCTCCTCCTCCTCCTCATCATCATCACTGCACTGCTTTGTGCTTTTTACAAATTGCAAACCAACAAATGAGAGGATGCAAGCTTCTATAGCAGCAATACAAAAGGCAGCATAACAGCTGGAGGGGTTGGATGACAAGCAAAGCAGTTGGAAAATACATAAGATCCACTAGAATCAAGGATGTCAAACTGCCAGCCCGCGGGCCAGATGCATCATGCCAAAACCGTGCCAACCGCATTGCTGGGAATGAGAAAAAAGTCGCGATATGTCGTGACATGTCCATCACGTTGAGAGTTTGACACCCATGCACTAGATCCACTATGACAAGCAGTAAGAACTATTTTAGAAAAAAAATATATTCAAGTCCTCCAAATATTCTTCACATCCTTCACCTTCTAAAACATAGCTTAATATCGTGTTGCCTAGATTAACATCACATTTTTCTCATGTTGGAATTAATGTATTACTTTTAGATATATTTGAGTAATAAATGCAGCAATAAGAAAGCACACATGAAAGACAAAATATAAAAGAATAAAAAAGAAAATGGAACAAAGCCATCTATTTCCCCCCTTCCCTTCCACTCCCAAGTAACACCTATCCCTGTTTGGAAATTGAGGCATACTTATGGAATTGATGTAGTTTTTATTTCACCTGAAAAATATATTTTAACACTCCAAACTGAACATTCATTTTAAAAATTGGGTTAAACAATTTATTCTTCCAGTCCAGTTTGTAGAGTGTTGTTCATATTCATTTGTGTATAATCACATATAGCTGGATAGCAGTATTCTATCAGAAAGGGGAAAAAAAGCAGCTTCAAATTAATAGGGAATAGTATACAGGATTTCTGGATTTTTTATAAAAATACTTTTCAGTCTTTTTTGATAGCATGAGTCAAAATCGGGAAAGAAAAGCTCTTGGTGAAAAACTTTAACTCATTATGAAGCAAAAATAAAACAAAAAAAATAAAACGAGAGTACTTTCCACATTATTGGTAATTTGGAAAAAGAACCGAAAAGTACAACAGCCCTATTATATATAATGTTTTATTTAAATGGAAGGTGCAGCCTAATCTAAAATAATATGCCCCATTCAGATCACAAATAGTTCTTACAACCACTATTTGGACTGAATTTCGGTTTCTAAGTGATGTGGTCACTAAGAAAATAATGACATGACTAGACCCAATTTTACAACTGTGAGTGAATAATATGATTGTTAAGTCACATACGTTGTTAAGCAAATCTGGTTTTCCTAATTTGCTTGTTGGAAGCAAAGGTTTGTGAGGTTTGGCATTTCCTATACTGTACCATATAAAACCACCAGTTGGAGGGGCATAACCAATTTACAACATGATGCCTTCTTTTAGAGATGAGTCAAGATACAGTATTATTAGCTTTCTAGAAATTGATACAAATACATTTGGCACACAATCTGGGAGCTTCCAAACTCTCCTTGACATTTAAGGTGATAGAAATGTATTCAAAGAGTTTGGTGGCTATTGTGGAGTCTTTGATGCTCTCTGAGGCTGCAGACACTTCATTACTTGACTAGTGAAGTAATATTTTTATTTATTTATTGTCATTGTATGTGCGTACATAGTATACATATACAACAAAATTTACTTGACACCCAAAAACCAAGTCCCACACACATAATCCCCAACACACTCCCCCCCACAATCCCCACCCCTAAAACCAACCCCCTGCTCAGGCAGGAAACCCTACACCATTTCGGACAAATGGCTGTCCAGTCTCTTCTTTAAAAAATCCAGTGTTGGAGCATTCACCGCTTCTGGAGGCAGGTTGTTCCACTGATTAATTGTTCTACCTGTCAGGAAGTTTCTTCTTAGTTCTAGGTTGCTTCTCTCCTTGATTAGTTTCCATCCGTTGCTTCTTGTGTTGCCTTCAGGCGCTTTGGAGAATAGCTTGACTCCCTCTTCTTTGTGGCAGCCCCTAAGATACTGGAACACTGCTATCATGTCCCCCCTCGTCCTTCTCTTCATTAAACTAGACATACCCAATTCTAGCAACCGTTCCTTATATGTTTTAGCCTCCAGTCCCCTAATCATCTTTGTTGCTCTTCTCTGTACTCTTTCTAGAGTCTCAGCAACTTTTTTACATCGTGGTGACCAAAACTGGATGCAGTATTCCAAGTGTGGCCTTACCAAGGCATTGTAAAGTGGTATTAATACTTCACGTGATCTTGAAGTTAAATTGCTGATGACTACATCAAAATATAACAACATGGAAGTGATCCACCACTATCTCCTAATAAGATGCTTTTTATTTGTTTATTTTTTACTTTCCAGTCTAGCCTGGAGTCCTGGGATTTCTTTGTGATTTCTGGCCCATATAGCAAATAGGTCTGACATTTTTCCTTTCGAAATTTGGTAAAGACAGTTGGATACTTCTGTCACTTAATTTAGTTTATCTAAGCCGCCTTGAGTTGCCATGTGCAAGTAGGCAGCAATACAAATTTTCTAAATAAATAAATTTTCTAAATAAATAAATAAACAGTTCATTAGATTTTTAATCCACCTATTCATGAATGTTATCTGGACTGGGTTTCTAAATTAAAAAAGTAGGAACACAATTAAAATCCAGATAAAACAGAATGTAAATAATATCCTGTTATACTATTTTCTGCACATATATTTAAAGCTTAGTGCAGCCTTTAAAACATCACACACTTTTAATTAAAAATAGCAAATGCATTTGCAAGTAACTGAGAACTCTTCAGGAAGGAAGGAGGATTGGCTAAGTCATCTTTAGGAACACAACAAAGAAGCTACATTAATTAGTGTGACACAAAGGACTTTTCGTTTTCTAGGAAAGCTTCCCAAATCAAATATTGTCCAACAAAGCAAGAAAGACATTTACTGATCACTCTTTAATATTATCTGTAGACTTCACATGGACTTTTCTTGAGTTCAAAGCCTTGCTTTGAAAAGTATATTGTTTAAAGCTTCTCTTACCAGGGACACAAGAGAGATGC